TTGCAACCAAAGGATCCTGATCTACTGATTCACTGAATTTCACTGTTTTCAAAATTATTAATCACATGTTGTTGAAGTTAGAAGAAAACCTGGGCAATCAACGAGCTTTGAGTTGCTTTGAGCTGCTTTGTGATAGAAGAACCCAAAGCAGATATAGAGACAGAACCAGAAGGAGAAGCCAGGCCACCTGAGTCTTACCTCTTAGCAGGTGCTCCAGCACCCTGAGGAGACTGAGTGTTCAGGGCAGGACAGTGTTGGGGAGCATCTTTTCTGTAACATCTTATAGAAAATCCCAAATGAAGTTTCTGGCCAACCCAATAATTAGTTTTGTGAGCACAAACTTAAAGCAATTATAGTTAAAATTTATGACTTTAAAAGGTTTGAATACTAAATCAGATTCTCAGGATTTTTTCCCCCTTTGTTCAGTTTTGTAGTTTTTACTCTCATAAAATAAAAGTCTCAAAATCACATAGCTTCTTGTTTTGTGTTTGAGTGATTCATTCCTGTTTGACCTACTTTCTGATCAGTTGTGTATTTGTTGTGTAATAAACCACATAGAACTTACTGTCTTAAAAAAAAATAGCTTACTAGCTACAGTGCAGGGTTGAGCCGTGTTACCTTCCACTCTCTGACTCAAATTACCAGCTTCTTTTTATTTGCTAATCAAGACTTCTTTTCTGGTTGAGTCACAGGCAGATCTTTGAAGCAAAGTCAGGACTTCAGGTACAGAGGTGGGGACAGGTCAGGGGAGCCACTTTGGGGGTCACTGTTCTTTGCTGGAAACAGAGAAACAGGGAAGAAAGGCTCAAGGGAGCTGGGGCCAAGAAAGCACTTGCCCTTCCTACATCCTTGCTTTTATCTCCCAGTGTCCCCAGACTGGGCTCTTGACTCTTCTCATCTTCTCAAAGAAAAGAAGCTCAAGAAAACACTTAAGCTGAGACCAAAATGATCTCCACCCCATTCAAGACAATTCTGTGGTCACAACTGTCAGTGGTACCCATCTTTCGGTCTCCCAGCACTATTTTCCATGCCTCCTCCTTCCTCATCCCATGTTCCAGCAGGAGCCAAGTCCAACCCTCAAATTTATCCTTCATTAGGCCTTTCCTGAGACATCCCCTGAGACTTGATTTTCTTGGGCTCCAAAATCACTGCAGATGGTGACTTCAGTCCTGTAGTTACAAGATGCTTTCTCCTTGGAAGAAAAGCTATGACAAACCTAGAGAGCATATTAAAAAGCAGAGACATTACTTTGCCAACAAAGGTCCGTCTCATCAAGGCTATGGTTTTTCCGGTAGTCATGTATGGATGTGAGAGTTGGACCATGAAGAAAGCTGAGCGCAGAAGAGTTGATGCTTTTGAACTGTGGTGTTAGAGAAGACTCTTGAGAGCCCCTTGGACTGCAAGAAGATCCAACCAGTCCATCCTAAAGGAGATCAGTCCTGAATATTCATTGAAAGGACTGATGCTGAAGCTGAAGTTCCCATACTTTGGCCCCCTGATGTGAAGAACTGACTCATTGGGAAAGACCCTGATGCTGGGAAAGATTGAAGATGGGAGGAGAAGGGGACAGACAAAGGATGAGATGATTGGATGGCATTACCAACTCAATGGACATGAGTTTGAGTCAACTCTGGGAGCTGGTGATGCACAGGGAAGCCTGGTGTGGCTGCAGTCCATGGGGTCGCAAAGAGTCAGACACAACGGAGCAACTGAACTGAACTGAGACCCCCCCCAAGAAAGGAAGTGAGCCTGGAGGAAAGCTCTGACTCATCAACCCCCACCCTCACTCAGAACCTGATTGGGGCAGATGGGGGGCTCACCCACCTTCAGTCTCTCCCCCTTTAAATCTGTCTCCCTCACCTGGTCCTGTGTTCCCAGGGCCCAGCACATCCTGGGTTCCTAAAAAGTGTTTGCAGAATGAATTTATGCAAATTCATTGAAATATGCAAATTAATTCATTGCAAATGAATGAATAAATGAAGGAAGGAGCATGAAGCAGAGCAGAGACCGCTGGATGGAAGAGCCTCCAGTCTATGGAGCTGGCAGGGCAGTGAGTCACACAGCTCTCCACACCTCTAAGGCAAGCTCTGAAAACCATTAGCAGGCCATTAGCTCTGACTCAGGCCCAGCTGGCAGAGAGTGGGCTTTACTCACTCAGCTGCAGGGTTCACACACGGGGTGCCCATCCCATGGACCAACAGCCTTGCCTCCCGAACCCAGCGCCTCTGGCCAGACCCAGGCTCAGGCCTCCTGCCATCGTCCTGCCTGGGCAAAGCCGCAGGGTGGAAGCTCCCTGCAGGCGGGGGCTTTGTCTCACAGCCTGTGTATCCCCAGGAACAGGTTCACCAAAGCGGTTATTAGCTGCTCATTAGGTGCCAGCAGCTTGAACACACAGATATCTTTCAGGCCACACAGTGGTTCTGTGAGGCGGGTCCTCTTCAGCCCTTTGCAGACAAGGAAACCAATGCAGGCGAAGAAGCTGTGACTTCTTTGAGACCACGCAGCCATTTTGGTAGCAGAGACCCAGGGCTGGGTTTAGATCACATCCTTTCACTCTCAAGGCCTGTTCCTTCCAGCAACCATAAAAATTCAAACGCATCTGGGGCCTGGAGGAGAGAAGCCGGTATCCCGGAGTCCAGTATGTTAGTGCCCCTTCCCTGACCCACGCTGAGCAGGGGAGGGGTCCCCCCTGAAGGTCCCGTGGTTGGGTCCCGGCAGCATCAAGATGCCCCAGATGGAGAAGGGAGGACCCTTCTGAGACCCACAGGGCCTGGGTGGGGTCTGACGGCCAAGGGTGGTCCTCCTGGTTCTATCCCAAACCCCGAGGACTTCCTCCTTTGCTGAGAGTCTTGGGCCCACAGCAAAGGGCCGGGGGTCAGGACACAAGCCACACTCTGGAAGGACTGAGTGTCCTGGGGGTGAGAGGAGAGTCAGAGCCCATGAACCCAGCAAGGGTGAGACGATGCAGTGCTTGACCCCAGAGCAGGACGCCTGATTAAGAGTGCGCGCATGGCGGGAATTCAGACAGGACAGAAGGTATCTGAGGGCAGGTGTAAGGCAGGCCCCCAGGGACCACCTGGAGGTGGGCTTCAAAGGCCCCGTCACGGTCAGCTGACTCCAACCACCCGGGCTCTGCCTTCCAGAGCTCTGCGCCCTTAGCAGCCACCAGATGTCTCTGAGAACCCCAGGCTGCTGATCATCACACACTTCAGAAGCCTAAGATGAGCATCAAATGAGTTCACGCACGTGAGCAAAACAGCCCAACACAGCACATGGAAGGAACGGAGAGAAGATATTCAATTAATCTTTGTTAAATGAAGCTGTTCTTGAAAAAAATGTTAGTCATTCAGTCTTGTCCGACTTCTTGTGACCTCATGGACTGTTGCCCACCAGGCTCCTCTATCCATGGAATTCTCCAGGCAAGAAGACTCACGTCAGTAGCTATTCCCTTTTCCAAGCGATCTTCCCGACCCAGCAATCAAACCCAGATCTCTTGCATTGCAGGCAGATTCTTTACCATCTGAGCCACCAGGGAAGCCAGAACTATTCTTATTACCAGCTAGATGTTGGGTTTGCAGCTTTTGCTTGATTGAGTTTGGGTTCATATTCCCCCATATCTCCTCATTCTCCCTTTTGATTTGTACTTTGGGTGGTTGGGAAGTCACAGTGATCATTAATTGCAGGTCTAGAATATGCTAGATGAGTCCTTCTCAAAGTTTGGTCCCTGGACAGATTGTGGCACCATTTCATGAAATGCAAACTAGAAATGCAAATTCTGAGCCTCATCCCAGACACACTGATTCCAAAACTCCAGGCGGGGCTCATTGACTAGTCTTTTAATAAATTCTCTGGTGATGTTAATACATGCTAAACCCACTATGCTAAGTGTTTACAAGAAACCTCATTCAATCCCACAAAGACTAAGGAAGTGGGAATTAAGATCTCAGACTTACAGATGAGAAACAGGGGTTTGGAGAAGTTAGTGACTTGCCCCAGGCCCTCACTTGGCAAGTGAACTCTGGGTCTGTGGGACCCCCTGCACCATTGCCTTCCCCTCCCTACTGCAATGCCTCCCATAAGTGGAATGTATTTGCCCTCAGGCAGACGCGGGAGGTAGAAGTAACTGGTAAAGATGGAGCACTCCCCCGGGCTGCTGAATAGATAGATCTGTTCTTGTTTAGTTGCCAAGTTGTGTCTGACTCTTTGGGGACTCCATGGACTGTAGCCCACCAGCCTCCTCTATCCGTAGGATTTCCCAGGCAAGAATACCTGAGTGGGTGGCATTTCCTTCTCCAGGGGATCTTCCCAACGCAGGGATCGAACCTTCATCTCCTGTGTCTCCTGCATTAGCAGGCAGATTCTTTACCACTGAGCCACCAGGGAAGCCCAGTGAAAAGTTTACCTAACTAATTTTATATGGTTTGCAAGAACAATTGCACTGTTATCTTTTATGAAAAGAGGCAAATATTTAGCCCGAGGGCTATCCCACTATTAAGCCGGCACTAAGAAGCCATCCCCAGCGGGTTGCAATGCACCCAGAACACCATATGCTAAGCATGAATCTCAGCAGCGCCGAGACCTGTGGGTGTGGCCGAGGATGATGGCACTATCAGTGACACGCTGAGCTCCTCCAGCCTGAAGAAACTGTCCTAGAGGCTTTCTGATTTCTCTTTCACCCTCTATTATTATGCCCCTTTAACAGATGAGGATGCTGAGGCCCAAAGAGGGTGGAAGACAAAAGCTCACAGGTAATGGGGCAGCGTTCCGGCCTGCCTGGCCCTAAGGAGCGTCCCTTCCAATATGCTATCCTCTGAGAAGCCGGTTCTCAGAGCCAGGCAGTTCTGTCCCGGCCTCCGCACGCAGGCCCACTTCCCCTCCCCATTCCCTGTCCCAGAAGTCGGCCCACTGGACGCCTCCCGCACCGGCGGGGAGAGCGCGGGACACCGGGGCCGGAGGAGCCCCAGAGGGACCCGCGAGTGGCCACACGATGGCGCTGTGGTTCAGGAGACTCGGGGCGCTGCCCGACACCAGCTCCGAGGACCTGGGACCCTGGCAGGACGGGGCCCACCGCGCCAGAGCTGCCTCGGGAAGGACTGGACCCCGAGCGAGCAGAAGGGTTGTTGAGGACGCTCTCCCAGGCCCGTGCCACCGGAACCCCTCTCCCCCGCTCCTCCATCCGGGGTGGGGCACGGAGGCCTCCTCCGGGAGCGCAGCGCCCGGCGGCGAGCCCCGGACTCCGCAGCGGCCAGCATCGCGGCTGCTCGCTCCCCGCCGTCCCTTCCTCCTTGCCCCTTGGCTCCTCCCCCGCCCGGCCAGCCAGTCCCAGCCCGCGGCTCTCAGCACAGCCTTTTTTTCTTTTCTAGCAATTGAAGTACAGTTGATTTACAATATCGTGCGAGTTTCAAGTGTACAGCAGAGTGATGCACATATATTTTATCAGATTATTTTCAATGATGGGCTATTACAAGATCCTGAATATATAATTGAAAAGGATGCTCTCAAGTTGAGGGTTTTAAATATTGCAAAACGAGGCATCACAAATGACCTCGTCACTGAGATTCGGGCGCTTACTTTAAAACTCAGCCGGTGAATTTTCCTGACTTCCCCCGAAATAAGCAACAAGAGTAGGAGTCAGAGTCTTGTGCCTTCCGTCACCTCTCATTCCCAAAGAGGTGAAAAACACCTCTTGGGGAGGCGGAATTTTGTGTTCAAATCCTGGTTCAACCGATAAAAATGGCGTGACACCAAGAGTTTTTTCATCTCCTTGAGCCTCACTTTTCGCATCAATAAAATGGGAATAATACTAGTACCCACCTCATGGTTATTCAGTTCAGTTCAGTCGCGCAGTTGTGTCCGACTTTTTGCAACCCCATGGACCACAGCGCGCCAGGCCCCCCTGTCCATCACCAACTGTTAGAGTTTACCCAAACTCATGTCCATTGAGTCAATGATGCCATCCAACCATCTCATCCTCTGTCGTCCCCTTCTCCTCCTGCCTTCAATCTTTCCCAGCATCAGGGTCTTTTTAAGTATTGGAGTTTCAGCTTCAACATCAGTCCTTCCAATGAACACTCAGGACTGATCTCCTTTAGGATGGACTGGTTGGATCTCCTTGCAGTCCAAGGGACTCTCAAGGGTCTTTTCCAACACCCCAGTTCAAAAGCATCAATTATTTGGCGCTCAGTTTCTTTATAGTCCAACTCTCACATCCATATATGACTACTGGAAAAACCATAGCCTTGACTAGATGGACCTTTGTTGGCAAAGTAATGTCTCTGCTTTTTAATATGCTGTTTAGGTTGATCATAACTTTCCTTCCAATAAGTAAGCGTCTTTTAATTTCATGGCTGCAGCCACCATCTGCAGTGATTTTGGAACCCCCCAAAATAAAGTCAGCTACTGTTTCCACTGTTTCCCCATCTATTTGCCATGAAGTGATGGGACCAGATGTCATGATCTTAGTTTTCTGAATGTTGAGCTTTAAGCCAACTTTTTCACTCTCCTCTTTCACTTTCATCAAGAGGCTGTTTAGTTCTTTGCTTTCTGCCATAAGGTTCATGTCATCTGCATATCTGAGGTTATTGATATTCCTTCCAGCAATCTTGATTCCAGCTTGTGCTTCCTCTAGCCCAGCGTTTCTCATGATGTACTCTGCATATAAGTTAAATAAGCAAGGTGACAATACACAGCCTTGACATACTCTTTTTCTTATATGGAACCAGTCTGTTGTTCCATGTTCAGTTCTAACTTTTGCTTCCTGATCTGCATACAGATTTCTCAAGAGGCAGGTCAGGTGGTCTGGTATTCCCATCTCTTGAAGAATTTTCCAGTTTGTTGTGATCCACACAGTCAAAGGCTTTGGCATATGGGTTATTGGAAAAGTTAAATATGTATAAACCATTTAGAGTAGTGCTCTGACAAGTAGGAAGTACTCATTAAATGTTACCATTATTACTTCCCTCTGACACAATGCGCACATCAGTGATTTGGCACTGAATACAAACAGCCTCGGGCTTTTGGTTGACTTTTCACACAGGCTGTCCCAAGGCCAGAGGGCCTTCTTATGTGACTGCATGCTCTGGGTCTGTGTGCTCTGTGCTTCTTGCCTGGGGCGTGTAATTAGAGTGGGTCATGGGTCACCACAAACCACAGCCTCCAGCTCTACCCCTGAATCTATCTCATCTCCTCCAGGGGGTGGGTTCTCACATAAATCTGCCGATGCAAGTGCTGAGTGCGCCCATTGTCTACTGTGGGGCACATGGTTCCCAGTTCTGAATAATGAGAGTCTTTTTTATATATCATCTGATTTATTATGCTTCCCGCGTAGTTCAGTCGGTAAAGAATCTGCCTGCAACGCAGGAGACCTAGGTTCAGTTCCTGGGTCAGGAAGATCCCCTGGAGGAAGACATGGCAACCCACTCCAGTATTCTTGCCTGGAGAATCCCAATTTATTTGTTTATTTATTTGTGACTTCACTGGGTCTTTGTTGCTGCAGGCAGGCTTTCTCTAGTGTGGAAAATGGTCGCTATTCTCTTGGTGCAGGGTGTTGGCTTCTCACTGCAGTGGCTCCTCTTGTGGAGCACGGGCTCTAGGGCGCTCGGGCTTCAGTAGCTGTGGCACGTGGCCTCAGAAGTGTCGGCTCCCGGGCTCTAGAGCACAGGCTCAGTAGCTGTGGCATACAGGCTGAGTTGCTCCAGGAATGTGGGATCTTCCCGGCCCCAGGATCGAACCTATGTCTCCTGCATTGGCAGAAGGATTCTTTAACCACTGAGTCACCAGAGAAGCCCCAAGAGTCTTTTTTAATATTTATTTTTATTTATTTCTTTGGCTGCACTGGGTCTTAGTTGCAGCATGTGGGATCTTTTAATGGAAGCACGAAAACTCTTCGTTGCAGCTAAGAGTGTGGGGTCTAGCGTCCTGACCAGGGATCAAACCTGGGCCGCCACCTGCCTTGGGAGCTCCAAGTCTAAGCCACTGGACTACCATGGAAGTCCTGATGAGAGACTTGTATTCTCCTCTAGGCCAGGAAGTCCTGCCTGCTCCCTGGGGCTGGGGAGATTTCAAGAGTGGGTAGGCGATGGTGTCAGACTTGTTTTGTTTCAGGATGGGAGAGACTAGATGCTCTGCAAAAGGCCTGCTTGGGCAGAGAGGAGGAAGCTGGCTCTAGAACCTTGGCTTCTAGAACCTTAGCCAGGTTAAGACAGTGTGGTGCACTTGCTTCTGGTTGGGCTTGACCACACAGGGTCACAGGTCAGGTTGTAGATGTTTGTGTCTGGAGTTCTTCGGGGCTTTCTCCTCATATTCTTCCTCACGTCGCCATCTCTAGAAGTCGGGTCTTTAACATCTCTCTCAGTCTTGCACAAATCAGTGCTTGGTAAAAGGCCTTGCTAGCAGTGCCTGAGCACTCCACGTGGATTGACTGACTGACAAATTGGCTCCAGAGGGTTTCAGCCAAGCTGGGCCTCTAGCAGATCTTTGTAAAAGCTGTGATCTGACTCATTAGATTTCATTAGTGGACCTTGCTGAAGCTGTTCACAGAGCACCCTCAGATGTCAATAAATCTAACCACACATGCAAATGAGGGTGTTGGAGGTGCCGGTGCTTGGGGTGGAAAGGGCTCCTGGTTCATACAGGAAGGCTTCCTGGTTATTGGTAGGGAACGGGGGTGACGCAGGAAATAAAACGGATGCAGTTTGACAAAGTGAGAGGAGGGTGTGGTTTGGGGCCATAACCCACCCTTTCCTGGTTCAGATCAGCACTTGAGTCATTCCAGAGTTCCCCTGCCAAGCCCCTGGGAACCTTCCAGTGTACGACATCTCTCAGGAAGCTAGCTGAGTTTCCTGGAAAACCTCCTCCACGGAGAACCAATCCACCACCTTCATGCCACCCCTCAAATCTTTCTTAGAAATCCTCCCTGCCTGCATCTTGGAATGAACGGAATAGAATGAATGGAGGATTAAGCCATAATAATCCAAACCAAATACTGGGTTTGGAGGGACCTGGTTACTACTTAGTTTCTCATCAGGGCGCCTTAGTGGCATCTACCCTCTGGGAGAGTGTCATTCAGTCGTGTCCGACTCTTTGCAACCCCGCGGACCATAGCCCACCAGGCTCCTCTGTCCATGGAATTTTCCCAGGCAAGAATACTGGAGGGGGTAGCCATTCCCTGCTGCAAGGGATCTTCCCCACCCAGGGATCAAGCCCGGGTCTCCTGCATTGCAGGCAGATTCTTTACCATCTGAGCCATAGCCTATGTTCAATGAGAAGTGTGAATTGAGCCCAGGAGAAGGATGTCCGAGGGGCTCTTGGACTTCCGATCCCTTGCTCAGCTGGCAGAACTGGGCTGGCACAGCCAGCCGCTCTCTGAAATTCTTGCCTTCCTGCTTCCCTCTTGGGACTTTGAAAGGGAAATCTAAACCTTGTGTCTCTGATTCATTTACTGTGAACTCATCAAGTTGGTGTTTGGCAAGAGTTCTTGGATGTCTCGGAAAGGGCGTTTGGTTTGGTTTCATTTATTTGTGTGTGTGTGTAAGTGTATGTGTGGTGCCTGCTTTTCCTTTGAAATAGGAAGTCTTTTTTTTGCCAAGAATACAAGGAAACACTAGATTTGAGGTTGGATCACAGCACAAGACTTTATTTTCTTGGGCTCCAAAATCACTGCAGATGGGGACTGCAGCCATGAAATTAAAAGATGCTTGCTTCTTGGAAGAAAATCTATGACAAACCTAGATAACATACTAAAAAGCAGAGACATTACTTTGCCAACAAAGGTCTGTCTAATCAAAGCTATGGTTTTTCCAGTAGTCATGTATGGATGTGAGAGTTGGACCATAAAGAAGGCTGAGCAGTGAAGCATTGATGCTTTTAAACTATGGTATTAGAAAAGACTCTTGAGAGTCCCTTGGACTGCAAGGAGATCCAACCAGTCAATCCTAAGGGAAACCAGTCCTGAATATTCATTGGCAACTGATCCTGAAGCTGAAGCTCCAATGCTTTGGCCACCTAATGCAAAGAACTGACTCATTAGAAAAGACCCTGATGCTGGAAAAGATTGAAGGCAGGAGGAGAAGGGGGTGACAGAAGATGAGATGGTTGGATGGCATCGCCAACTCAATGGACATGAATTTGAGCAAGCTCTGGGAGCAGTGAAGGACAGGGAAGCCTGGCGTGCTGCAGTCCATGGGGTGGCCAAGAGTTGGACACGACTGAGCAACTGAACAACAACAATAATCCCTTGTGTTTCCCTCTTTTT